GCTGTTGTGGTATCCATGCTGTGTCGATTGCTAGAACCTTGTAATAAGACCATGCACATTTGTCAACTTGTAAAACTAACCACTCCTTGGGGTTCATCTAATCACCCAATGCTTAGGTATTACCTCTCTTAAAGGGTTTCCAGTTTTCAGACCCAATGTTGCACTATACATGGTTCGTTGTGGGTACTCGATATGGATATAGGTACAGGTTATGGTGGTTTTTATAATTCGTAATACGAGAGGTAGGCTTATTCAGTACGCAGTATGGGGTGTGGGTGTGTGTGTGTGTAGATATAGATCTAGAGAAAATAATAAGATTAAACCGCCAACATAATTACCAACAGCAATGCTAATAAATTTTAACCCTAAAGACTAGAAGTCTTTGAAATTTTAAATAATAAATTCAGCAAACCCAATAACAGGGAAGTTTAAAGAAAACATAATAAGTTCTCCAGACTCCTGTTCTCTTTAAAGTCAAGTCTTCAGACTCCTTTTCTGTTCTTATACAACTCTGCAAGAATTTTAGGGTTATTAAAAGAATATTACATAATTTAATTTAGATAACTAATAAATGATATATAATAATTTTTAAAATTTCAGAAATTATTTTGATAATTAATAACGTTTCCTCGTCCTATCTAAGTTTTCCACTCCTCGCTAATCTCTATCCCTAAAGACTCTCCTTCTTGTATCTCTCCTAGCTCCCCACCCACCACCCCCCCACCCCCCCCTCCCCCCATCTGTGGAGCCCTGGTAGCCAACATCTCAAGTTAAGGACTCAAGCTGTTACACATATTCTCCAATAATTCACTGTCTAAGTTCTGAAGATATTGATTTTTTGGCTTTCATCCAGATGCATGCTCTCACTTTGGTGTTTAAAATCCAGAATGGTGCTATGGTCATTTCTGGTACATACCACAATTTGGAAGTCATGTTCCAAAGCAGAAATCACAGGGCAGGTGGGGCGAATTTAAGTAACACTATTCAGACCTATCTTATCCTTTGTGAGCTCAAAGAAATTTGAGTCTGTAGGCATTTTTGTTTACTAAAAATCCTTGATGAAAAGTCATTGCTTTTTACCTATTACCAGATAAATGAAGATAGCGTTCTGTAGGTGAATTGCTTCAGAATTTGTCTGACTTGCATTTTTTGCCATCAAAAAAGGTTTCTATAGTACTTTCTTCCCCCCACCACCCCCCCCCCCCCCCCCCCCCCCCCCTTAAGATGGTTAAGTTAGGCAATGACATTGGATGTACATTTTTTTTTTCTTTTTTAATTTAGCTGCACAGCAGTCCTCTTTTACGTCATTTAGGAAGGTTGGTAAGAAGGAGTTAGAGATTGAAGAGCAGGGAAAGGGAGAATTTTTCTCTGGGTACAAGTATAGATTTGCTCTCAGATTCTCCTAAGCATTACTGAAAAATATTTGCATATGCACAATCAGAGAATTTCTCATATTAAAAAACTATGAATTTCTAATTGAAATGGAAAACAATTTGTTGTGTTTTGTTACTGATTTTATGTTGATACTTGTTGATTGATTAGTTGTTTTTCTAGAATAAGCTACTAGGATTTTTCCTTAAGTTATATGAACTTTAAATCATCATTTGCTTCTTTTATGTACTCTGAATAACTTTCATAAGTACAACTGGAATCACTTCAGGTTGTGACATAATCACGGAATTCATTAGTATCAGGAAAGTCGAAATTAGCTTTCATGACTGTTGTCACATTCCATTTGATTTGTTCAGGTATTTGTTATCAGTTTCAAATTGATCATGTAATTATTTTGAATTTTATAATTTTTATTCACCAGGTTGAAGCCAAGAAACAAACCTTTTCTTCGTTTGATGAATTGCTAGCAAATTCTGACAAACCTATATTGGTTGATTTCTATGCAACTTGGTAAGTTCCTTATTGCTTGTTAGTTGTTACTGCAGGAGGAAAGTCTTATTGTCTTTATAGATGAAATATAAATGAATATTACATCTGATTTTGCTGCAGTGTACATGGTTATTTTGGATCCTAGTTGCCCCAGTACTTCACTTTTGCGTAGTCCTGTGCGTAGGAGAATTATTATGTTGCAAATCCATAATGCTCTTGTTAGTAAAAGTTTGTGTTGCCAAAATGATTACAAATAAACAAAATTCTACAAGGCAATTAATTTGTGCTCTTGTTGCAGGTGTGGTCCTTGTCAATTTATGGCTCCTATTCTGAATGAAGTAAGTGCTGTAATGAGTGAAAAGATCCAGCTGGTGAAAATTGATACTGAGAAATACCCAAGTATTGCTAACAAGTATCGAATAGAGGGCTTGCCTACTTTTATCATATTCAAGGATGGAGAACCATATGATCGCTTTGTAAGTGCGACCCTAACTCTATTCCCCCCCCCCCCCCCCTCTTCTACTATTTACATTTTTCAATATCCACGTCTTGCACATGATATAGTTACTATTTCTTCTATCATGTGTGGCTCAAAAGATTGAATATTGCTATATTATTGCACTTTTCTAAATAGTTAATATTCTATGCAGACTGATGTATAAAATTGTCATGAGCCACCTTTATGGCAGCTTTCATTGCAATTTTTAACTTGGTTATTGTTTTCTTCTATCTTATTCTTTGGCTTTGGTATAGTTAATACTAATTAGGAATTGTTAATTGATTATCTACAATTTTTTTTAGACAGTTGTGCTACATTTAATAAACTTATTAGGCGCCATTCTCTGATGAAGATCTTGCATTTTCTAGCATTTAAATTTGTACTTCAATTGGAGTCTAGATTCTAGACTTGTGCCATCCTGTAATTAATTCTGTTTGATGGCTCTTTCAGGAGGGGGCGTTGACTGCAAAACAGCTAATTGAACGCATTGAGTCTGCACTAAAAGTCAAGCAGTAATTCTTTCTGGTGAGTCTTATGCATTTGCATCCCTCTGGTGGCTTTAAATTAAATCGCAGAATGCCCTATATATTCTATTGGGCAGTGCCTTCTTATTTCTTTTATCTGCTCAGGTTTGAGAGGGATATTGATGATGTAATCTAGCGAATTCAATTGCAACACCTAGACGCCACGAGAAGAATAAACAGCATGTTCACTTGCTCTCCTCCTCCCTTCCCCCTTCTCTCCCAGAACACATGGAAATTTGCCTTCACTATGCACTTGTATGTTCATGGCTTGATGAATTGTGTTGATCAAGTCAAACGGATGTGAAAACAAGATTGTTTTGATAGCTTAGGCCTTGAATGTGCGGACAAAATTAATGATGGAATTTGATTTTTGCTTTTACTGAATCGTGAGTTTGTATATTCTGCATGTTGAGAATCCTCTGCAATCGTGATGAAGATGCCTTGGTTGCTGAATTTATCGCTGCCTATGTGGTGCTTACCTTCCTGGATATCTTCAATCATTCTGTCGTATCAAAGTGTTTGACGTTCTCTGCAGCCAAGTACGGCCCTTAACGTCCATAGAAGATAGAGGGCACTTGTAGACTGCTGTTTCCTCCTTGAGTGATATGGTGTACCGATGTAAAGAGCCAATTTGATCCACTCCATGCTTGCTTAAGCACATCAAACAAGCCCAATGTTGAGCCTTTAAAACCCGTTTTAATACAAAATAAAACCTTTGAGGGCGCAAGTTTACGGAGAATCTTTTTTAAAATCTATTTGTTCTTGTTTATTTTCTCTGTGGGAATAAAGCAAGGTGATGGGCTTCAGTTTATCTGCATTAAAACGCTTTTGATTGACAATTTCCACTCTCCAATAACATAGGCAGGTTAATTTAACATGCCTAGCCATGTGATTTATCTAATATAAGATAACCCAGATTTATTCGTTTTATTAATAGTTTATCCATATTTATTTTGAGACTATTGCTTTCAGTTTCACAATGTGAATTAAATATGAAATATACAATGAAGGCATGGTTCAGTTTGTATGTTAATAGATAGGATAACTTTAGGAATGTTAATGGGTTGGATTCAGATAGAATTATGGTAGATTTAGATTTGAATTTAATAGTAGTATATTGGGTGGTTTACACAATGCACTTTTAAATTCTAATTTTTTAAATTTTATATCTTAGCACCCTTTGATTTTTTGCCTTATTAGGGTATAAAGTGCAAAAAATTAGAATTTAAGGGTGTATTGTGCAAATGAGTCGTAGTATATTATATCTGAATTCGACTTGAAATTTTATAAGATATGTGTTTAATATTATTATATCCGAATTTGGATAAAATTTGATATTAAAAATAAAAATTTTGAATTTGAATTATTGAATGAGAAATCATTAATTGACACTAACGTGACTACAAAATTGATTTGATCAAATTCAACTGATAGATTAATTACAACTGTCTTTTACTATATTAATTTGCATTTATCTTTTTTTTAAAAAATATTAATTAATTTCATTAATTAATTTTGATAAAATAGAGTATATAAAATTTGTTATAAATATTTTATTTTCATACTGGTATCTTCTCTCTTTTTAAAAATTAAAAGTATCATATAATTATATTTGATCTACTACAAAATATGTAAAATTGGCTCATTAGTAATATATAATAATTATATTTAATTCATAATATACATATTTTTTATTTTTTATTTTTATAAACAATAAAAATATGTTTCTAATTTTTATTTTTAAGGAGAAAATTTATTAATCCAAGTCTTTATATTATGATATCTATATATATATATAATATTGTCATATTACATATCGTATATATATATGTATATATATTCAAATTTAGATCTTTAACGGAATAAATTAGGTGAAATTCATATTCGTTCTATTTATTTTAGATTACGGACTTTTATAGTCAGATCATGTTCATCGAATCTTTTATCGGTTAAATATTCTAAATAATTGGATTAAATTTAGATTAAAATCCACTCCATTACCAGCTCTAAACAACTTCACATAATGTTATTCTAATATTATAGTATTTTTATTTTTATCACTCATTAAGTAAATTTTAAAATTATGAAATTTAAGTGTTAATGGTAACAAGTGTAATAGGTAAGAATAATATTATCAAAATATATAATATTTGAAGAATCAAACTCTAAATTCTAAACAAATACACATACCTTATATTAAGATCTTTCGGACTATTTCATTGAACGCCTTACTCTGAAGATGCTTACAATTGAAGCAGTCTCTTTTTTTTTTTTTTTTCACAACTTAGATGCAAAGTTTGAGTTTCTTAATATTTCTCTCTCTAACGTAAAAATGGCAAGAGTAGTTTTTTTCTACAAAAATAGAGGTTTATATATTTGAATAGTTATGGGTAGTTATTTTCTTATTTTTAATTGCACCTCATTTTACCCATATTGTATAATGGACCTGGGTTGGGTCAACCCACATGGGTGACCCTACTCCATATTCTAACATCTCCCACTCACACATGTGGATTGATTCATATACTAGAGAAATATTTTTAATATACAAAAACACTCTTAAACTTCATACTTGCGAATAAGTCTTGAGGCCAGCGAGCATATATAATCTCAGATGCAATACACTGATCAAGGATATATAACAGCTCATCTATAAAATGAGAATAATATAACTCGCTATACCCTAGATTTCTTTCATACTACACTAGTTGACATATCTCTTTATCCTCTAATATTTAAGAGTATATTTGACATTATTCAAAATTATGTTGCATTCACAATTATGTTCCTTTAAATATAATTAGCTAGCCTGTGAATATAAAATTAATGCTAGTCAAAAACAATCTTCCTTTGCAATTAATAAGTCTTAATCATCACTTTAATTACTTTCCTAAACATGCACCGCATTACCGAATCATTCATGGATATTGGTAGCATGCTAAACTAACACATTAAAGTATGATCTCAACAAACCATTGAAAGTCATAAGGATATAAAATGAGATTTAAATAAATCTCTGGGTTTCACACAATTATAAAATAGGGATATATTTACTCGTTACCCAAATGGTCACATGGCACACGTAGTATGAAACACATGTTACGATACTTTTACTTCCACTTGGAAGTGTATATAATTTTAATTAATGTATCGTACAATTTTAGTTCATCAAATATATCTCCAACACTTAACTCAAGTTTCTATATAGTCTATCCTCAACAAATTTAATAATATTAGGACAACTCAAATTTGGCCTTACTAACAATTTAATGTATTGTGGAAAATTCATTTTGATTACTAAATATAAAAAAGCAATCTTATCTCTATACATTTTCAAAATGTTAGAGGTGATTATTCAAAATAATCTCATCTCTACACATTCGAAATGTCAGAGGCGATTGCTCGTGTGAAAGAGCCAGAGCCAATCGTAACTTGTTTGACATACTTATCTAATATACAATTATTAGAAACATGTGTATAATTTGAAATATAATATCATTTATAAGATGGGTATAAACATACAAATGCTCATAAAACATTCTTAATACATCATATTCTACGTAATCCCAAAGTTCTAACATGACTTAGGAATACATCTCTTAGGATAGGCTTAGTAAGAGGATTTGCCAACATCGCATGCGTAGATAAATATTTAAGTGTCACCTCCTTCTTGTTAACAATATCCCACACAAAATTATATTTTATCTATGTGTTTGGTTTTTTCATGATACTTGGAATTTTTAATACAAGTAATGGTTGCTTAACTATCACAACAAATAGTCATAGCTCCCATATGATTGTTTATAATTCCCAAATGATTAAACAAACTTTTTAACCAAACAGCTTCTTCAACTGCATATGAGATAGCTACAAATTCTTCTTCCATTGTGGATAAAACTACACAAGTTTATTTCTTACTACTCCATGAGATAATGCTATCATTGAGTAAGAATGTATATCTAGAGGTTGACTTACGTTCATCTAAGTCACCTACCTAATCAGCATCTGTGTATCCTTTTAACCATAAATTCTTTTCTTGGTAATAAAGAGAATAATCTGCAGTACCCTTTAGATATTTGAGAATCCTTTTGATAGTTTTTCAATGTCTCTATCTTAGATTAAATTGATACCTATTAACTAGACCCACAGCATAGCATATATTAGGGTGAGTACACATCATGGCATACATTAAGCTCCCAATATCTTTAGCATATGGTACTTTGGACATTTCCTCAATTTCTTGTGGAGTCTGTGGACACATATCATGACTTAAAATTTCACCTTTAGCTACAAGAGCATCAATGGGTATGCAATTATTCATTTTAAAATTCTTTTAATGTAAAGTTCTTGTGAAAGACCAAGTAATTTCTTAGAATGATCTCTATGTATCTTTAACCTAGCATGTAATATGCCTTACCCATATCTTTCATTTCAAAATTAGATGACAACCATTTTTTAATGGTATCAAGATACTCCTTATTATTTGAGGCTAACAAAATGTCATCAACATAAAGAGATCGAATTAAAAAATCTTTATTGGACCCCATTACATAAACACAATGGTTTTTCATCAATCATAATAAATCCATATGAGATTAAAGTTTTGTGAAATCTCAAATACCACTGTCTAGAAGACTATTTCAGGCCATAAACTGATATTTTTAATTTACAAACTTTATCCTCTTAGCCTTTAATAATGAAACCCATTGGTTGTCCCATGTAAATTTTTTCTACAAGTTCTCCACTGAGAAATGCAGTCTTCACATCTATTTGGTGTAATTCTATGTACATGTTAGCCACAATAGTTAAAAGAAGGCGAATTGAGGTAAATCTCACTACATGCGAAAAAGTTTTCACATAATAAATACCTTCTTGTTGAGTATAACCTTTTGCCACTAAACGAGCTTTGTACCTCTCAATAGTTCTATCAGCCTTACGCTTAATTTTGAGAACCCATGTGTTTCCAATTGGTTTTTGTCCACGAGGAATGTCACCAGTTCCCAAACTTGATTTGACTTCATTGACTCCATCTCTTCTTCCATTGCTTTTCTCCATTTATCCTTTGCAGGATATGATAGAACTCTTGTACAATTCTTGGCTCTTCAAAATCTTCTAGAGAAACAATAAAAGCATTGC